GCGTCTGCGACATGTCAGTGTTGAGACAGGTATCAGGCTCATTGGAGCAGAGGCGTGGCAAAATTGTCGGCAGCTCCGCATTGTCAAATTGCCGGCCACTGTTGTAGGCATTTCCGATAACGCCTTTCGCGACTGCAAACTACTAAACAGTGTCTCGGCCCCTGGTTGCCGAGAATTTGGATACAAAGCCTTTGCGGAATGCTGTTCCTTACAATGGGTGTATGCATCGGAAGGGGTTGCAAATAGGTTCAGCAACGAAGCCAAGCTCGGGCATTATCTCTTCAAGAGTGCATCAACCTTGCTGAGTTTATCTTGAGTGAGCTTCCATCCCCCCGAGGGTCAACACTGCAGGCCGGGACCAGTGAGCTGGCGCCAGGCTGTCTTAGCTCTACGGGAATCACCGCACTTGCTCTCACGAAGTATTTTACAGTAGACCTTTGCGACACCAACGTTGAAGAAATTCCGGAATTCACCTTTGTGCACTGCACTAGCCTCAGAGAAGTTCTCCTTCCGCCTACTCTCCATACAATTCGAGTTAAAGCATTCATGAACTGTGCAGCCCTTGTTGAGCTTGCCATCCCGCCCTCACTAAAATACATTGGAAGTAGGGCTTTCTTGGATTGCACTGCCTTGAAGAGGCTCGCCAAGATGCCAGGAAGGCACAAATGGCGAGGATTCTATGCTGAAGAGAATGCTTTTGCCATTTGTCCCGACATGAGGTGGCCACCCTGGCTGCATATGATCCCGGACATGGGATACACCTCCGGTCTTGGATGAAGACAAGCCTCTCTGACCACAGCTATCGCGGTCTCACTGTCACTCATCAAGAGTCTGGGCGCGCGCCACAGCTCGAGTCCAGAGTAGGCCAGAAGCCACAGTAGGCCAAATACCATGAGTAGAGTTAGCTTCGGTTGCAAGTATTTTGGCACTAAAGTACCCGAATAGTGTCGCTCCGTGACAAGGGAGGGCACAACTCAATGCCCTAGCAATCGGCTCGGCCAGAGCCGGATACAGCGCACCCCAAACGATGCTTGCCAGACTGCTGCTTTCTGGAGGCGGGCATTGTCGCACTTGCCTTGCCCACAGACTTCAACAGGATAGGTTCCACCGCCTGTGCGAGCCGTCAACAGCTCAAATTGTTGATCCGTCCCAAACTGAGGATCACGGCGTAAGAAGCCTTCCTCAAGTGTACCTCTCTACAGGAGGTTTCCACTCCTGCTTTACATGGCGCCATGCGCCTTTGCAGGTAGTACGCACTTTCGAGCAATATACAAACAAAGAAAAAGCAAAACATGGCGAAGGACATATGCCCTTGACAAATGTGGGTAACTCGACGAGTCCAAACAGCACCGAGTTTTGCCGGCCGATGCCAGTGATCTATGGAGAGAGGACTTTCCAGAACCTGCATCAAAGACCAGCAATGCTTTCGCAGCGGGAATCGTGGACAAGCCCACGCCAGTAAGCTACGGCAAGTGAAAGGTGCAAACACTAAGTAGGATCGCCAACCTCTTTTCGCCATTCGCAATACAGTGAGCCAATAGGAATGAGAGCCTTAGCTCCTCGTTCCCAACAGGCGGGTGGTAGAGAGTGGCAATGGAGGATGCCCAGGGGGAACCTTAGGCAAGCGGTCACCTGTGATAGCGCCTTAAGTCCACAACGCTTTGGGGAAAATTTCGTGGACAAAATTTTCAGCCTACTTCGTCACACTAAAGTACCCGAAAAAGTTCTTTGAAAATTTGATGCATCCACATTTTCGATAATTGCAGTAATCTTGAATAATGCAAGCTTTGTGATAAACATGTCTTGTGCTTTTCTTGAATCTTGATTCGAGTGTGGTCACATTCACCTTTTCGATGCCGCTGCAGCCGGGTGGGTCGAGGTGGGATCAGCATGAAATTTTGCTGGCCTCACTGGGGGGTTAGTTTGATGGGCTCTTCTTAGCGGGCGTGCGGTGCCCGGGCGCGCCATGAATGGTGGCGATTTGGAGGTGTTGGAGCCCATAGATTTGAGTCAGGACCATGCAGAAGATTTTGACCATGAAGAAATTTGTTCAGTTGCGCATTCGGCCCCATCATCTCATGCTTGTGATTTCGAACCAAACCCCCTTGCATCCCCGCGCTCGAGGGATGATCCCAGGGGCCTTGAGGCCAGCTCTGCCTTTCAATCTTGTGAGCTAACAGGTGCATCTGTTGAGGACTCCAGGAACACGTTGACACTTCCGAGCAGTTCGAACCGTGCATTCTTTGAAAACGCCTTTGTGTCAAACGCCAAATTCTGTGACATAAAGATGCCTTGGGAGACAGGTGTTGCGCAACAAATTTTTTTGGCAATCCTTTTCACTCAACTCCAGTAATCCCTGCAGTGAGCACTTCGGAGTGGGTGTGTGTGCCTTGGAAGGACGCCTTGGACGCAGTAGTGGATGACACACTTAGGCATACTTGTGAAACCAACAGTGCCCCCGTTTTCGTCTCCGCAGTTCGTAACCTCGATGATAAGACATATGACGAACAGAGGGATGCATTGATGGACGCAGCCATTAGTAAAGTTCTAATTGTCCTTCGTCATTGCTTGCTTGCTAGTGTAGTTGGGAGGCAGATCCTTTCACTGGGTTCGGAGGAGCAGCAACTTGAAGGTGCCAAGGAAATCGTTAGTGCAGTTGTGGGCCTTAGATCTCCTTACACCGTCGTGAAGAGAGCGAATTCCCTGCTTTCTTTTCTCAGGTGGTGCGCAAAGTCAAAAGTCCTGGACACAAATCCGTTCTCAGAGAAAGTTGTTTGGCAGTACTTTCAGGACTTGAAAGAGTTGGGTGCGCCTGCAACTCGGGCCTCTTCGTGCATGTCGGCCTTTAGGTTTGCACTTCATGTATTAGGCTTTGAGTCACTTAGTGAGGTCACAGGTAGCAGGCGAGTCGTTGGCCTTAGTGATCAAATGCATGCAAACAAGAGAGTTTTGAGGCAGGCTCTTCCATTGACTGTTTTGCAAGTTCGTAAATTGCATGACATTGCGACTAACTCGAATGCAAACTTGGTTGATCGTGGTGCTGCCGTATATTTCTTGATTGCGTTGTATGGACGTTGCAGGCATAGTGATTTGACGAAGGTGCATTCAGTAGTGCCTGATTTTGATGATGATGGAGGGTTCCTTGAGATTCGATCAGCACACCATAAGACGGGAAAGACGGCTGCGAGGCGTACTCAGCTGATGCCCATCCTTATCCCTGCGAGAGGTGTGCACGGTGTTAGTTGGATGGGAGCCGCGTCGGATGTATTCTCTCAGTTGGAGTTGTCACTTGATGGACCGATTGGAGGGCCCCTGTTCCCTGCTCCAAGCCTCGGTCATGAGACTTTTTGTAAAAGGCCTTTAACATCAGGTGAGGCATCCTCATTTTTGAGAATGCTCATAGGTGCGCCGTCGGAAGCCGTTGACGATTCGACGCCAATCGTGTCTTCGCACTCCGCCAAAGCAACGCTGTTATCGTGGGCTGCAAAGTATGGTCTTTCGGAGCCCTCCAGATCAATTCTCGGGAGGCACGCCAGTGCCACGTCTGGCGCCTATGCCTTCTACTCCAGGGACTTGTGTGTTGCCCCGACTCGTGAAATGCAGGTGGTCATTGACGAGATCTTCAAAGGAAACTTCAATCCTGATGCACCCCGTAGTGCTTATTTCACCAGATGTGAACCTATGATTGAGACTGAAAGTGGTAGTGCTTTGATGTGTGCACCTGAGGTTGGATCATTGGCAAAGGCAGAAACAGTGGACTCCGAATGTGTGCAGTCGGAAACTCAGGAGGAGCACGAGCCATTGTGGTGCAGGATGATTCTAGCTCGGAGAGTTCTTCGAGTGAGGCGGGGTCTTCTGCTGACTCGTCTTGTGGTGAGGAGCCCCCCATGAAGGTGAAGCGGTTTAGGCCTCGAGTGCCTCGGGATGAGTCTTGGTATGTTCATCGGAGATCTCACATTCTCCATCTTCTCACGGAGAACGCTGATAACCATACCTATCGTTATTTGGCATGTGGGAAGAGGCTTACTGAAGCTTATAGTTTGTCTACTGAAGCGACCGCGTGGAACGTGATGTGCAAAATGTGTCTCAAGAAGAAGCCTTCTTGAAGGGCCTGTGCAGGCTGAACGACGCGGAATGTCCGTGGGAAAAACTCGCCCATGCGTGGCGCTCTTGTGAATTTCTGTGTGACGTCTTAGGATCCATGAGGGTCACCGTTTTGGAAGCTTGGGTCCGCGCGCGCGCGCGCGCCCTCTTGGGCACTGAAAACGGCCGTCAGAGGCGCGCGCGCGCGCGCGGACCCAAAGCGACAAAACGGTGACCTCACGGAATCTTTTAGTGTGACGACTCTCAGGGACAATAAAGCCGGTGTAGGCTTGCGGTGTAGCGACTATAATAGATCCAACTGTCCTGAGGACCCGTTTTGACCACTTCACAAACGAAGTTGAGTGAATGTCCAGCCATGCGTGCTGTGGTTCAAGGGATTTGTGCCTATGATGTCATTAATTGCATTTGGTTGAATCCATTCCCACTTGAGACTGGTTCGATTGAGAAAGGTTCACGCTGTTTTTTGATGTTGGCAAAACATGAAGCTGTCGTCAACTTGTTTAGAATTTTCTTTATTCAGGACGGGAGATCATTGTTGCTCCTGCCGAAGGCACCGGGAAGCAATGGCGCTCTTGCTGGACAGCGAGGCACAATTTGACCTCAGGATTAGTGAGTGCAAGGTTCCGGATAACATCAGAGATGCTTTGAAAGCAAATGGCATTACCACACTTGCGTCCTTGTCCTATAGTTTTGGGCAACCTGGACAAGTTATTGATCAAGATGCTTTTGCAGCTTGGGCCAGGTCCTTAGAGCCTAGAGCTACGTTAGGAGGAGTGGCAAATTTGAGGAGATTGGTATTTGAAAGCCAAACCCAGCTTCTGGCCATTCTCAGGGATCAGGTGACCTCGGCGGACACGACCGCCAGGAAAATCCCGCAAGCAGAAAGAGAATCAAGAATGAACTTGGTCAGGCAGCGCTTGACAGGTGTGTTGGTGAGCGGCTCAATGGAACCCGGCCACTCCCTCTTGGATTCAGTGATGCACATGGTGGATAAGAATCAGTTGAAGTATTTGCCTCCTGAACGCTGTGTCTCAAGGGTTCACGAACTCACGTCTTTGAAGGCACCAGACCGTATGCTTGACATTGAGGCGAACAAGATCGTGGTCAAGGATAAAGATGAGAAGCTCGAGGTTCCGGCGCACACTTCTTTGCAGGTCTTGGAGGCCATGAAACGTCGTGGCATCGCCTTAGACTTCGGAGATTGCATGGGTTTTGTGGAACATGACGCATACGTTCAAGCCCTTTTTGCGCATTTGCATCGTGAACCACCTCCCGGTTACCAACGTTGCACAGTCGCTCAATTGGTCAGTGCTGATAAAGAGGCTTGGAGGAAAGTGATTGAGTTGAATGTGAAACCCAAGAGGGATCATACGGGGGCTAGACCCCTGGACCATCAGCTGATGGCTGCGCTCACGTCATATGAGGTTTCGTTCACCCTGATTCCCTTGCCCATGAAGGCCAAACAGGACACAAAAGAACGAGGTGCAGGATCGGAACGTCCAGGTGGTGGCAAGGGCTTCGATTCCAAAGGAGCAGGAAAAGGTAAGTGGCAGAATCGGCAAAAGGGTTCATGGTCCAGCCCCTATCAGAAGGGGAAGGGAAAGTCGAAATGGGAGCCCAGGATCCCTGCACAGATTCGTGATCTAGGAGGGACGGCTACGACTCCCGCCGGAAAGCGCATTTGCTTTGACTTCAGCTTGGGAAAATGTTCCATTGCTGCTGATGGAGCTGAGTGTCCGAAGGGTCTCCATGTGTGTGCCAAGTGCTACGGTCCGCATGCCTTGAAGGACCACAATTCGGCCTGACTAGGCAAAAGGCCGGTAGAGGAGAGTTCTTTGGAAGCTCTCGAGAATTCAAGCCGTTCGAAAGAACGCAAAACCAGTCATGGGCAGGGCATTGAACGACGTTCGGATCCCAGTGCTTTAGGCCCTTTCTGCAAGACGCAAACAAACGAATCCAGTTCTTCAGTTTTTGATGAGACACTTCATTCACGCAATTTTCCAGAGAAACCGTTTATCATCGAACTGTGTGCAGGGTCAGCCAGAGTAACTAGTTGTGCACGTGCCATCGGCTTGACAGATTCCTTCGGTGTCGACCATGTCAAGGGAAGAAACTGTGGACGCATCATGTTGGCGGATTTGACCACAAAGGCGGGCAAGTCACTTGTTATGCAATGGTTGAACTCGCCTTCGTGCATGGGCGTTTTCGCAGCGCCCCCTTGTGGAACCAGCAGTAGAGCTCGATCAATCCCACTTCAGGTCTCGTCAGGCAAGTTCATCGCTGGGCCAAGGCCTTTGAGGAACGAGCTTCATCCGGACGGACTTTGTAACCTTAAGTGGGTAGATAAACTCAGAGTTTCATCCGCAAATCGGCTGTATCACTTTATAACCGAAGTTGCACACGAATGCATTCGTCGTGACCTCATTATCGTGATCGAGAATCCTAGGAGGAGTTTTTACTGGCTCACTTCGTTTTTTCAGCCATTGGCGGACAAGCTCATGTACACAGCGCATCAAGCTTGTGCATACGGTTCCACACGCCCCAAATGGACTGTCCTTGCTCACAACTGTGCTGCCTTTAATAAGATAAATAAGTGTTGTCCCGGAGTTTCCAAAAAGCATTGCCATGAAGCCTGGGGCTTAACCCCCTCGGGTTTCGCCACGAGCAAGGAAACTGCGTATCCATTGCATCTGGCGTATGAGATCGCTCATGCCTTTGCTCAGGAAGCAGTGACACGAGGTTGGCAGCCGCCCGCTGGGTCGCTTACACCACCCAGCAGAGTCCAGTATGCTTACCTCAGGGCAGTTGTAGGCCTTCAACCCAAAGCTTCCAAGCTTGCGCCGGTTTTGTCAGAATTTTCGGAAATTCGTCATGTATCGCACGCCGGAGCCAACCCACCAGTTCAGCCTGGTGGTACTTTGACCGAGCCTTGGGAAGGCATCCCCGCAGGTGCCAAGTTCTTGCAACACCAACCACTCCGGTTAAGAGGGGGAAATTCGGAGAACAGTGAACCTTCTTTCGCCTTTGGAATTTTCCGTAGCCCGGAGCAGTTTGTTCTTGAGGCAGTAGCAAAGGGTCACCCAATAAGACTCCAAAACTTTCTCCCACAGGTACTCGCAGACGCAGTTGGAAAAACGATTGAGTGCTCCTCGAAACAGTTGAATGCAGAACGGTTAAGTGTCCTTAGAGAGTGGGTCACCCTTGCTCGCTCGCTTCGACAGGAGGAAAAAGAGATTCACCAAAAGATTTCAACACATGCACAGAAGATCTTAGCCCCGAAGAGGATCGCCTTGTGGAAGGCATTGTTGGAGAGGTATGAATACCCCGACCTCGGTGTAGTAGATGAGCTGTGTGTAGGAACCAAACTAACGGGACCAATTCCCCCTGTTCCCATGTTTGAGCGTTCGTTCAAACCTGCCACACTCACTGAGGGTGAGCTGCGTGCCGGGGCCAAGGCCTCTAGAGAAGCTGTAGTGCATAGTGTTAGGGGGAGCGGTGATGACTTTACCGACTTCGAGGTGTATCGAAAGACATGTGAAGAGAGAGCGTCGGGATGGCTGAGGGGTCCATACCGCATGGACCAGCTGCCCCAGGACGCTGTGGTTAGTCGTAGGTTCGGATTGAAGCAAGGTGCAAAGGTCCGGTTAATAGATGACTTCAGCGGTAGCAGTGTAAATATGACAACGCAGGTTGAAACAACACCCTCCCTTCACACCTTGGATGTAGTGGCAGCGATGCTCTTGCAAGTGTCGTGCAAAGGTAAAGGGTTTGGCTGGGTAGGAAAGACAGTTGATCTCTCAGCGGCCTATAGGCAGCTCGCCATTGCTGAAGAGAGTCTGTGGTCGGCGTATGTTGTGTGTTTCAACCCCCATAGTAGAAAGCCTGAGGTTTTCCAGATGCTTGCGTTGCCCTTCGGGGCTACCAGTAGCGTTTATAGCTTTCTCCGCGTTGCTCATTCGATTTGGTTTCTGGGTTGTAAGGCCCTGCACTTGTGCTGGACATCCTTCTTCGATGATTTTGTGACAATCGCCAGGAAGGGTGAAGCCGAAGTACTTGAAGGTGTTATCCAAAAGTTCTTTGACTTGCTCGGTTGGGCGGTCTCAAGTGGCGATAAAGATTCACCCTTCGATACTGTGTTCAAGGCCTTAGGCGTACAGATAGCATTTGGAGATGTGCACAACGGTACGATCTCCATTTCAAACACGCAGAAGCGGATCGATGAGTTGACTGAAACTATTTCGAGCATCCTGGACGAGGGTGGCATGTCTCGAGCGCAAGCCATGTCCCTCCGTGGGAGAATGCAATTTGCCAGTGCACAGATTTGGGGAAGATCCAGCAAGCTTTGCCTGAGTGCGGTGTCTGCACGTTGTCTTGGTGATAGCAGCTGGGTACTCAGACCCAACACCATAACTGCATTAAAGCATTTCCTTGTGAGCCTTAGAAATCCTAGGCCTCGCAGTATAGGCAAGAAGTCGGGGCGCCAATGGTTCATCTTCACAGACGCATCCTTTCAGCCGACAGACCGTGACTGGCCCTGTGGCATAGGTGGAGTGTTGTATGACGACGAAGCAAAAGAGGTCTCTGCCTTCTCCTTGTGCTTGTCCGAAACGGAACTCAAGGCATTAGGGTACCCTGGTAAAAAGACCGTGATCTTCGAAGCCGAACTTTTGGCGGTAATTGTAGCAATCACTCTTTGGGGAGACGTGATTGGTTGCTGCCCTTGTTTAATTTTCGTTGATAATAACTCAGCTAGGGATGTCGCTATCTCAGGACGTGGCCGGTCCTCTCCAGCAGATGCGCTTGTTGGAGTATTACTCCAAACAGAGGACCACCTGAGTTTGACCCCGTGGATAGCCAGGGTTCCGTCTAGCTCGAACCCGGCTGATGAACCATCCAGAAAAGAAAGCAGCAAGTTCTTGCATATCCTGGTAAACCAAGATGCAGTGCGGAAGTGCCTTCATGGCATCCTTGACAAGTCTCTTGGAAAGTAACCCGGTTAAGGAGGGGATGGACAGTTCCAAAGACCATAGATGCCGTTTCGTGTTTTCGTGCTTGAAAGGGAATCTTGGTGGTAAATAAGCTCAGCCGAGCATAAGCCCAAACGCAGTTCGTAGATGAATCACATACCCCCAGTCCGTTCAGCGGAAAAAGAGTGCGTGGGAGTCTGCACCGCTCGTTGTCGAACGAACTCGACTAGTGTACGCTAGCTAGTGACTAGTAGGCGGCCCTAGAGTGAGGACTTAAGCAAGCGGTCACCTGTGATAGCGCCTTAAGTCCACAACGCTTTGGGGAAAATTTCGTGGACAAAATTTTCAGCCTACTTCGTCACACTAAAGTACCCGAAAAAGTTCTTTGAAAATTTGATGCATCCACATTTTCGATAATTGCAGTAATCTTGAATAATGCAAGCTTTGTGATAAACATGTCTTGTGCTTTTCTTGAATCTTGATTCGAGTGTGGTCACATTCACCTTTTCGATGCCGCTGCAGCCGGGTGGGTCGAGGTGGGATCAGCATGAAATTTTGCTGGCCTCACCCTCCTCTTCCCTCCCAGGCCAGCAATTTGAAGGATAGACAGCTTGAAAGCCAAAAATCGTGAATAAGCTCAACCGTGCATGGGGATGGACAGTTCCAAAGACCATAGATGCCGTTTCGTGTTTTCGTGCTTGAAAGGGAATCTTGGTGGTAAATAAGCTCAGCCGAGCATAAGCCCAAATGCAGTTCGTAGATGAATCACATACCCCCAGTCCGTTCAGCGGAAAAAGAGTGCGTGGGAGTCTGCAAACGAACTCGACTAGTGTACGCTAGCTAGTGACTAGTAGGCGGCCCTAGAGTGAGTACTTAATTCCCTCTGTTGATGTCCGACATTTCCAATTTTGTACAAAGAGGTACAGATACCATGCTAGGATAGGTCCTGTTTCACCTGCTTCACACGGGCCTTGCACGCAACAGAACAATTTTTGCAATGACGCAGCATTTCACGAAGATAGGGGACACCCCGTTTTGGCACCTCTGGGTGCCGAAGGGTGCCGAGATGACCTCCCTTAGGGGGGGGTGTGCCTTTCGCACCCTTACCTGCAGGCTCTCGTCGTTTGCTATGGCCGCCACTGTCTGAACACTACCAACTACTATGCCTCTTGACTTGTATGTGCAACCAGTTGAATGGGTTGTGCTACAAGAAAGGTATTTTCCACGGCATGATCTGCATAGCAATCACTGATCCACTTTGATATGGATATAACCTGCATTAGAGCATATCAATGCTCGGGAACTGCATCGTGACCATGTTTTTGCCACACCATGCAGTGGCCGCTGGTCACTGTTAATTGTGATGTGAAGTCCATTTGAAGACTTCTTGGAGACTTTGCTAGAGCACGAACCCTCGCTGCCAAGCTCTTCGTCCGAGAATTCAGGCCCATCGATAGTCAGTAGTCATCGTCTCACTTGTTTCACCTTAGCACAGAGGAAAGACTACAGGATGGTGGAGACTTGGCCTTTGGGCTGTGGTTGGCGGTTGGTTTTTTTTGTTTGTTGGGTTGTCCTTGTTCCTTTCTCCACCATCTGACTGTTTTTCCCTTCCTTCAATGATGACCTGGGCACCATGCCCACACGGCGTCCGTACTCGTGGAAAAAAGGAACATTGCACTCCATTGATGGACACCTGACACGCCCGATCTTTCCGAAGCGAGGTTCGCTTGTTGGAAATGGTAGCAAATGCCCCGACCTAGTGATGGCATGTCCAAGGAGGCCTTCTGGTGTGCTAAATTCAACTTTGCCAAGGTCTTTGTGGGCTGTTTCTGCTCCGACCGGCGAGGAGCTGGAGCAGTACTGTTCTGAAAACCACTGACCTCCTAAACGGCCACGACTAGCTTCCTCAGCAGCACATGTGAAGGGGAACCTCTGTGCTGCTATGTTGGAGGTTGCATAGAACCGCCGGCAAGTCGTGTGGCATATACCACCGATGTGCCGCTAACAGGCCAATTGGAGCTTTGAGCAGGAGAGTTCTGTGTTAATCGAAGGAACGGTTGTCCCTTCCGTCTACTCTCCATACAATTCGAGTTAAAGCCTTTATGAACTGTGCAGCCCTTGTTGAGCTTGCCATCCCGCCCTCACTAAAATATATTGGAAGTAGGGCTTTCTTGGATTGCACTGCCCTTAAGAGGCTCGCCAAGATGCCAGGAAGGCACAAATGGCGAGGAGTCTATGCTGAAGAGAATGCTTTTGCCATTTGTCCAGATATGAGGTGGCCACCCTGGCTGCATATGATCCCGGACATGGGATACACCCCTGGTCTTGGATGAAGACATGCCTCTCTGACCACAGCTATCGC